CACTAAGAAGAATATATGCAGTGTATTATTTGTTGAAACTGTACTTCCGATTTGATTTGAAACTGTTTCATTGCTATCTGTTTATCAATAAAACTTTGAAGAAAGAAAAAAAAAAACAACAGGTTATTTTTTCCAAAATCCTGAACTTTGTATTGGAGAGAGAATAATAGGATCATTGGAGGGGAAGAAGTTAGAACAACTATACAATAGATATGAAAATCCTCAAGATAAAAATAAATTGGACTAAATGGTATACCACAATTCTGTGATGACCTGGCCCTTGATCCCACCAGCATTAGTGTATTGATCGTGGCATGGAAGTTCAAAGCAGCGACACAATGTGAGTTCTCCAAACCACAGTTCACGGACAGCATGACAGAATTAGGATGTGACAACACAGAAAAGCTAAAGGCTCAAATACCCAATATGGAACAAGAACTGAAAGAATCAGGACAATTAAGGATTTTTACCAGTTTACTTTTAATTTTGCAAAGGACCCAGGACAAAAAACATTAGATTTAGAAATGGCCATTGCCTATTGGAATTTAGTATATAATGGAAGATTTAAATTCTTAGACTTATCAATAAATTTTTGTTGAACATCATAAATAACCAATACCAAAAGATATCTGGAATCTTCTTTTAGACTTCAGTACAATGATTGCAGATGCATGTCTAATTATGGTGAAGAAGGAGCATGGCCTGTTCTCATTGATGACTTTGTGGAATTTGCACACCCTCAAATTGCTGGGACAAAAAGTACAACAGTGTAGCACTAAAGGAACCTTCCAGAATGCACATACTCTGTACAGTAAATACTGTGGAAAATTCTACAATTTCTGCTGGCTGGGCTAAACTGAAGAGCAATTATCACTATTTAGACTGAGGGTGAAACAAACTCTAAAGATACATTTTAGGCCATATCATTTCATTGTTCTAATGGTGGTTTGGGCTTTTCTTTTAGTCTGGGATTCTCTAAACATTTATAGTTCCAACACTGTGGATTTCATCTTAATATCTGGACCATTTCTAGTTTATTCTCCCATAAATCTTAGATTTATACAGATTTTTTGAGGTTTCTAATCCTGCACAAAGAACAATATTTTCATCAAATTACAGTTTGGCAGAAGAAAGAAACATAATGAACATCAAAAACAGTTTATAAAAACTTAAGCCTTGGCAGCACATATATTAAAATTGGGATGATACAGAGAAGATTAGCATGGCCCCGGCACATCAAGGATGACACGTAAATTTGTGAAGCATTTCCATATTAAAAAAAACTTCTTAAATATAATGCCTTGGGCTAGTTGTAAAGACTATGCTGATAATACTTCCAATGAGAGTGATGTATTTAGGTGCACCGGCTCTGGAATGGTGGTTTGATTAGGAGGGATTTTTTTCCTGGAAAATCACATGTATTGATGTAAGTTGAGTGTGTGTTGAAAGAAATGTCAAAACAAGCCTCATGAAAAATTTTTACTAAATTTGGTGTCTATCTAAAAAATGTATTTTAGATTCTCAATTTCAAAAATGCTCCATGGAATTAGTCTGTACTCACCTTACTCCTGTTTATATGTACTGGTCCTACAGGGAGCTTTTATTTAGCAAATCTTGGCATAAGGTTAGATTCCATTCAATGTTAGATTCTACATAATACACTATATAATTGATTTGATTATGTTTTTGAAATGCTTGTATGTCTATCAAAGAAGTTAAACTACTTGATTTGTTTTAAATATTTTGAATTACTATGCGTTATAGTACCCTAAATTTAGGCATAAGAGTTTATTTATTTTTTTTGTCTTTGTTTTTTTTTCTTCCTTTTTGGTCATCACACTATGGAACATGAATGAAATTCTGTACATAAAAGGATAGTAAGAATTAAATTTTGGAAATAGTTGTGATGAACCATGAAATTCAATCTATATAATATAGGTTCAGCTCTTTCAGACAAGTAGTCCATTTTTGATGACTTGTTATTTTGTCGAAATAGTTTTAACAGCTAATCGCCGTGCTTGCCAAAAATTTACATCAGGAGCAAAGATTTTCAAACACGCATGTAATTGATGAAAAATACCCATCTGGCTTGTAAATTATTTTGTCTCTTTCCTGTTTTTGTTTCACTCACATTAGTTCAGTTTTCACATCAAAGCAGAATGCTATCTTACAGAGACACAACCCCCCTTTTGGTTACGCAGCCCATGAACAGCTTTCTTCCTTAAATTGTTCATTTTTATTTACTTACTGTCATGTAGATTCATTGCTTTCTGAAGCATTTCTTTAAGGCAGGTTAAAAATATTGAGCTTTAGTTTTGGATGACAACAGCCTTTACTAAAAACAGATTTTGCTTGGAATAACCAGGTGTTGTCTAAGGGCCAGCACTGGTAGTAATAAAGAAATGTATCAAAAAGAGCAGTGAATCTTAGGCAGATACAGAAGTGATTTTAAGAAGCAATGACTTATAAAAACTGCTTTTTATTTATTTAATTTTGAAATTGAGATATCATTTTAATATTTTAGTCATAACTTTTAATTTAGGAATGCAATTTTACCAAAAGAAAAATTTGAAAATTTCTATTCAAGTTATTGGAATTTGTTATTAAAAGAAAAAGAAAAAAAGGAGAAGAATCTTG